GTAACTGGGAGTGTGTTGGTTAAAGCTCTGAAGTAACTGGGAGTGTGTTGGTTAAAGCTCTGAGGTAACTGGGAGTGTGTTGGTTAAAGCTGAGGATGTCACTTGTCGTGCTCTCCAAAGCCAGCAGCTGCAGGGGACTGTTGACAGAGGCTGCGGCGTCCTGAACAGCTTTAAAACACGTTGGTCAAGATCTGTACGCCGGAATGTGAAAATGGTTCTGAGATGAGAGAAACAGCAACAAAGAGTCAAAGCCTGAAGCAGAATCGAAGCAAACACCACTTAGCTTCTGAACAAAGACATTTTACTTCCTTAGAAATGTTAAAACTGCTGCCAGGGGCTCATTACGTAACTATGGTAACCACATGCTTGTGTCTCACTCCCTGACAGCTCTCTTTATCAGACAGACATAAACGCAGAAGAGAGTTTTCGGGTCCCGCTGGTCACTGGTGCCCATGTCCAGCAGTCACTTTGCGAGAGGCGGGGGACACCCTGGACAGGTCTCCAGTCCATCACAGGGACAAACGAGACAAATGAGACAAACAACCATTCACACTCTCACCTAGAGACAATTTAGAGTCACCAGTCAGTCTAACATGCATGTTTTTGGTCTGTGGGAGGAAACTGGAGGACCCAAAGAAAACCCACGCATGCACGGAGAGAACATGCAAACTCCACCCAGAAAGACTCACTAGGATTTGAACCGGGGACACCTGCTCGCTGAGAGGCAGCAGCTCTACCAATTGTGCCACCATACTGCCTATTTAAAAACCCATTCCAAAAAATAAAAGTTCTGCCAGATTATGTGTCCAGATTATGTGTCCAGAACACACTGCAAGAACAAAATGAAGCCATTCGGTTCTCACAGCCTGTGAGAGAACAGTTTTCTCTGTTCTTGCAGAGTAGGCAGCTGAAATAAAGCAGTGAGAGACACTGGATTAAAGATTAAAGGGGAAAGAACAACTAAACTCTGCATCTGCTCTGTAACATTTTGTGGTTTATTCTTGCAACATTATGTAACCTAATTGTAGACTGTGCAAAACTTGTTAAAGATATCAAAACACCAGTCTTGTCAGATACAGTCCAACTTCCTGTGACGTGTTCAAACTTTGAAAACTATTTCTACTGTGAAGCCTGTCAGAGACAGTTTGACAAAATCCTTTTGTTGTCCATGCGACACAAACTATTTTTACAGTTAACATGGCGTCAAAACTGGTTTTCCTGCTACTTCTTATGTGCACAGTTATATCGGTGCTAAGTAGAACCAGGTTCTTCATCATTCTGAGCAGCTCTTGCAGAACTACAACTTAATGAATCCATTCAGAGAGACTTAATGAAACATTTAAAAGCCACATTTAAGCTCTGTGGAAAGTTGGAAGAGGTATGTTGCGCTCCAGTGGAAGTCAGGGAAAAATGTTGCATTGCCAGTCAGATGGCGTTCTAGTTGCAATTAAAATGTGTTTTCAGACCAGAGTGGCACATATTTCATTTGGAACAGCAAAACTTTTGTACGACCTTTCAGCTCTGTTAGAATAAAAGATCAGTAAAAAGTCAAGTCATAGCTATTCATCAATGAAGCCTGAGCCATGACACAATGAGGATCAATTCACCTGGAATGTGGGAGATCCATGTCAGGGGCTCTGCTTTGAAGCACTCATGGCTTTCACAATCCTTAAAACCTTTTAAATCATTTAAAATCCTTAAAAGGGATGATGATGATGATGATGATGAAACCATTGAAACAGTGCAGGGAACACCGTGCATCTTGACATCTCCCCTGTCAGGAGATAGAAGCTGATGACACAAAAACCTATTCTGAGTTAGAAAACCGTCTCAGGGTCAAATGACTCCTGCTTCTTAATCAGACACTTGTTGGCATATTTTGAAAGTCTTCATTTGGTCAGAATGTGAAGAAATGAAGCAAATGTTGTAGAAAGTCAAACCTTGGCACCTGTATGACAGACCTGTAACAGTCATGTGTTCTTGCTGGGTGTGTTGGGTACAGACTGGGTTGAAGTGTGCACTGTGACGTAAGCCTATGAGTTCTCCACTGCTGTGCCGTAACAGTTTGACTGTTTATACTGGGAGGGCGTTTGTTCCTGTGTGTCAGATCTATGGTGTTCACAGGTGGGTATGAAGGGGAGGCTCACACTGGCTTTATTAAAGTACCCCCCCCCCCCCCCCCCCCAACACACACACTCAAAAATCACTAAACAAAATAGATGATCTTATACTCTTAAGTTAAAAATATTTTATTTCCGAACCGGGGAGCATTTCAGTTTTTTTTTTAATCCAAAGTGAGAAAGTGATCTACACGAGTGCGTATCTGACAGCTTGCCCATGTGCTTCATTAAGTACTGCTTGGGTCACTGTGAGCATCACTGTGTATGCCACTGCATACACCACTACATATACAGTACCAAGGTACATGCCTCTCCATACACCACTACATATACAGTACCAAGGTACATGCCTCTCCATATACCACTACATATACAGTACCAAGGT